GCGATAGGCCCAGAGCCTCGCGCTGTGAAGAAATCATGACGGGAGGTTTTTCTATATGTTCGGTCTCCGGGGGCCCTCACCGTCACCGGCCCTCCGGAGCGTTCAAAAACGAATCAGGGTGAGAAACCGGTCCTGGGGAATGGGTCGAGACCTCTGAGGGTCGACGTCATGAAGAATAATGACGTCGGGGGTCTGGTGGGGGGGGACGGGCATGGGGGGGGACGCATCGACCCCCGATCGCCCATTGATCGCCGACAGTGGCCCGATAGCCCCAACCTGCACAGCCAGGTGCGGATTCACTATCGGGGGCCGATCGCCGATCTATCGGCGATGTAGCGCCGATTCCAGGTCGATGCATTCCCCCCCTTTGCCAGTCCCCCGCCCGGGTGGCCTCCCCGCGAAAGGGCTCACCACCCCTGCCAGGCCCCGGGCCTCCCAAGGAGGGGGCCAAGCAGGTGGCCTACTCCTCCTCCTCCTCCTCCTCCTCCTCCTCCTCCTCCTCTCCTCTCCTCCTCCTCCTCCTCCTCCTCCTCCTCCTCCTCCCTCCTCCTCCTCCTCCTCCTCCTCCAGCCGCCGCCACGGCTGAAGGTCGAGGGACACGCGGCCCTCCCACCCTGTTCCATCGCCCGCCAGGGAAGCAGCGCGCGATGCCCACGCGCCCGCGGGGCCCAAGAGGCCCATGATGGAGGCTCTCCTCTTGCTCGCGGCCGTCGGCTCCTCGCCGCGGGCGGCCGCCTACATGTCGACAGGCGCTTGCCGCGCCCCTGGACGCACTCAGGAGCGAGAGCCTCAACCTGCTCAGCACACCAGGCTCTACGTGTACAACCCTCTCTACCTGACGGGCAGCACCCGCGCGCAGGAGATCACCTGCGAGCACTACATGGGCGTGATCCTCTTCCCTGGGACGAGCCGCCGCCCGACACTGGACGGCCGCGACAGCCTCTTTCAGCACGACTACCACTGGGAGCTCTCCTTCGGCTGGACCAACAAGAGTTGCGGGGGGAGCATCTTCCTACATCAGCGGTTTCCGCAGGCACACCTACGTCGGATCCACCCTCCGCCCGCGGCGCTTTCGGGCCGCTGCGGCGCGACAGTGCCGCTCCTCGGACGTGCTCCTCATGGTTCGGCACCTTTCCGTGCCATCCGAGTCCTGCTCCAGCCGCAACTCATACCGCCAGGTGACCCAGGCTATGACCTCGTGGGCGCGCACCACGCTGGAGCCTGTGGGCAGTCGACGCACGCCCTTCAGCGGGGCGGACCTCAGCTCGGCGACTCCGTGGACGAGACGTTTCTCGGCCCCCCGTCCCTGCTCGAGCCCGACTTGTGGAGCGAGGTCGACAGCGCCGTGGGCCCCTTCCTGGAGCTGGAGGGCCTTTCTGGACGTCTTTGGCAACGGTTCCTCTCGGACCACGACACCTTCTTTGTCAGCGGGGACACCTTCATCCGGGCGCACGGACGGTCACGCTGGATCGACTTCCTCCACGCCCCGTGCAAGTGCAAGGCCCCCATGGGAGCAGGACGCCGCCTCAACACATTGTACGATCGAGACCACCGCTCTGTCTACGCGGGCGACATCTTCGAGGCCCACGCGCAGCACACCTGGGACTACGATACGATCATGCTTCGTCTGGAGGGCGCCCTGAAGCCGCGCGACCTGCAGCAGGCGGTCACGTTCCTCCCCAAGATGGCGCGCCAGCACGCCCAGCAGCTCAGAGACCTCGCGGCCTCGGAATGGAGCAGCATCGTGACCCCGCCCACGGCTACTTCGATCGTCGCAGCTCGGGAAGCGGGCAAGATGTACGCAGCGGCGGCGCTGGTCCCCGAGGCGAAGCCCCAACTCACCACATTTGTACATCGCCCACGCCGAGTTCAAGTACCCGTCGGCCTCCGTGGAGCAGGAGGCCCCGCAGGGGCACGTGCTCCCGCGTACCTTCTACCAGCAGTTCGTTTGCATGGGGACGGGCTCGGAGCTCTGCTCCACCTCAGGCTGCGCACGCGCCACAACGACCAGTACACCAGGATGCAGTTCGCTAACGCGGACCAGATCACACTGAAGAGCGTCAACCCAGACGGCCCTCGGGAGACATGCCTCGACGTTCTGGGCGGCCGCCAGAAGATGGGGACGGCCCCTTTGGGCCACCTGGAATCGATGGCCCAGAAACTGCTAGACAAGAACCGCCAGATCCACTACGGCCAGAAGGGCTGACATGGGCGGTGGATCCTACGGACAGAGATGGGCGACCAGCACACTACGTGACGACGTGAGTCCCTCCAGCAGCCTCGCTGTAGCACCAGGCCCCTCTAGTCGCTCACGCCGCCCCTGGTCTCCAGGGCGCGCCGTCGGCTCTTTTCTTCGGCCTGTTTTTTTTCTTTCTCGGGGCCTCTGGGTGTCCAGGGAGCCTGCTCGGTGCTCTCCGCGCCGTCGAGCTCGGCCCCCCGGGGCCAGAGGGGCATCACCCCCCGCCCGCGGGCGTCTTCCTGTTCCCTGTCCTGCTCGGCTCTGATCAAAGGGGATCACAGCTGCACGGCGCGCCCACACGCCTGACCTCGTTCGGCCCGAGGAGATCGCACGACTGCTCAGAGGTGTCCCCGAGCGATCTCTCGTTTCGTGAGCTCGAGGGGCGAGTGTCTTCAGACTCACAGCGCAATGCCGAGTCCATCCATCCATCCATCCATCCATCCTCCTCCTCCTCCTCCTCCTTCTCCTCCTCCTCCTCCTCCTCATCATCATCCTCCTCCTCCTTCTCCTCCTCCTCCCGCTCCTGCTCCCCCTCCTCCTCTTCCTCCTCGTCCTGGATGGCCCTTGTCGCCACGGCTGGATGCTCCACGAGCGCAGCAGCTCAGCTGCCCCTAACACGCACGTCTCGAAGCGTGACGCAGCGCGCACCGTGTTCAAAGCGTCCGCGTCAATACGCTGCGCGTTGGCTCGCCGCGTTGGCCCACGACTTGGCGAACGCATCGCGCCAGGCCTACGTATTCAGTCTCCGTGTTTAGCTTGACGGCACTCGCGTGTTCTCTGAGTGGCAACTGCACCGCCTTTTCCAGGCGCAGTCGAAGGATTGTGAGCCTGCCCCTGCCACTCTATCGCGAGTTGTTTTCCCGTAGCCTGTAGCAGGACACGGCCTCTGTGCCGATCGGGAGTACCGTACCGTACCGTTGAGCTCCATGTCGGCACGCTACGGGCTGCGTGTTGCGCATCGGGGCAGCCAAGTCTGCGAGATCCTGGTCAGAACGCACCCCAGGAGAGGTCCGCGGAGTGTCGGTACCGGTGCGGTGGGGGCGTTGGGTAAGGAACGTACCCAGGAGGCTTCATACCCTGGGGGATCCCTTGCCTGATGAGGGTGGCGGTGATACTATTCACGGCCAGTCCACGATGGGAGTTCTACTGGCTTCCAGACCCTGGATTCCTTACCCAATGGCTCCTTATCCCATGCCCACACCCTACCTGTGTGTGTGTGTCTCCGCGAGGGAGGACCGCGCCGCACCGCCGCTGCCTCGGCGACGTGGCTCGCCGTGGGGCCCGGCGTTCTCCCCGCCGGCGGCACCGACACGTCGCCGACCTCGCCGGTGCATCAGCAGTGCGGTGCGGACCGATCCTCCCCGACCCCATCTATATGACCGAAAGAACGCGTTCTATGGTCGCTGGGAGGGGGGGGGGCTTGGAACCGGACCACCCCCCCCCCTGGATGGAGGGCGGGAGGGGGGGGTTCGACCCCCCCCCCTACCTCTCCTCTCTCCCTCTCCTCGCCTCGGCTGGCGGCGGCGGCGGGGACGACGATTTCCTGTTCTGGGCCGGCGCAGGCGCCTGCGGCGGCGGGCGGCGGCGGCGGGGAGCGTCGATCTTCGGTGCGGACCGATCCTCGCCGACCTCATCTATATATTCGGACCCCATCTTGGAATCCTTCAAGGGTCCATTTTGATCCGATCGACTCGGTTCGATATCGGTCTTGGCCATCCCGATCATATTCGCTTCCGATGTCCCTCGCCTACACCTAAGAGTGACCCTTCGCTGGAGTGACATCTGGCGCGGGCCCACTGGAGCCCCCCGATCGCTGAACGCGAAGCGGTAGCAGCGGCTTGCGCGCCCAGGTCTGGTCCCCCCGCGGCCCTCAAGAAGCCGCGCACCAGAGGTCACTCTCACCCAGGGGGTCACTCTTGCGTGCAGCCGAGGCCCGGCGGCCCGATGCCGCCCGATGCTCGCACGGCGCTGTTGGGCATCGTGGCGCGGCCGGCCCGATCCGATCTCGACTCCGTGCCGGCACGGCCCGATGCGACGCACGTTCCGATCTGATTTCTCGGTTCGGTATTGACTACATCCTGCCCCTGTGAGGTCGCCGTCGCCGCTCCGTTGCGGGAGGGGGGCCCAGCGCCGACCCGAGAGAGGTGCGCGGGCCTCGCGGAAGTGTCTCCTCGTGCCGCTGTCCGGTTCGGCGGCGAGCCCGGGGGGGAAGCGAGAGGGGGCGGGCCTTCTCGGAGTGTTCGGAGGGCCTCAGGCCTTCTGAGAAGGCTTCGAAGCCTTCCCTTCAGTCGGGCCTGTCCCTCTACAGGGGGGGGAAATTCAAAAATAGTCGAAAAATCGCATGGGGATTATTTTTACTATTTTTGGGCATGTGGAGTTTTTTTTGCATATTTTTAATTTTTCGCCCAAAATCCCCCTGTAGGGGGACAGGCCCAACTTAAGCCTTTCCCGAAGGCGCGCACAATTGCCCAGAGGGCGCGGGGGCTCCCGAGAAGCCCCGCCGCCCCCTGAGAAGGCCTGCCCCCTCTCACTGCCCCCCTGGGCTCGCCGCCGACTGGCATTCTGCCCGTGCACCTCGTGCCAGGAGGGGACAAAACACACAGGCACAAGTAATCGTCGATCCCCCAGACCATATGGGAAAAGATGGGAAGTGGGGGGGGGAAACACACACACACACACACACACCGAAAATGCAGGAAAAGATGGGGAATCCTGTTATTCATGTGTGTACTTATCTGTGCGTCCCTGGGCCCCTTCAACTATGCCCGTTCACCTCGTGGTGATCCTGCTCCTGGCCGGCTTCGATGCCACCGATAGGGCCCAGAAGCGGCCGGAGGCGAACGGGCCCCGGGACCTCCGAGACTTGACGTCTGGTCCTTGCCTCGGAGACCTGACGTTTCGTCCTGGGTCGTTCTTCGGTCGTCCTGGAGCTTGACAGCGGCCTGCAGACGCCGAGGATAGCGAGCCACAAAGCACTTCGGCGTGCCAAGACGTTGGAGGTCTGGTTGGAAACTGGAGCATCTACATCACCAGTGGCGGACTGTTGCGCAATCCCAAGACTTTTTGAGGGTCGGGGATGACGTCGAGGTGGTGTGGTGTATATTGTTTCCCCCGTTTTCCTGGGGACACAACAACAGATGTATACACCAGAATCCCGCATACACCAGGATCCGCTTTGCTGTGCGAAGCCCAGTGCGGGCGGGAAAAAGCGTCGGCGTGTAGAGTTCGGCTCCTTCCCTGGGGTCATCCGAGGATGGCGCGGAAAAAACAGGGCGCGGGAGACAGCTCCAGCACCACCCCCGCCCTCCTCTCAGTTTGCCCGTGGCCCGTCCTGATCCGAGGATGGCGCGGAAAAAACAGGGCGCGGGAGACAGCTCCGGCACCGCCCCCGCCCTCCTCTCGGTTTGCCCGTGGCCCGTCCTGCACCAGGGCTGGCTCTCGCTCGCGGCGCGCCCCCGCTCCCGCGCCGACTGCCGCCCGCCCCGTGCCACTCCTTGGCCCCCGCGCGGTTGAACGACGCCCCGCCGCGAGCAGGCTCGAGGGTCGAGGCTTCTGCAGCACTTGGCGACTCTTGCTTGGCCTCGAGGGCCCTGCTCTTACAGTCGGGGCCCTGAAGAAGGAACCCTTTTCGTTGGGGAGGGGCTCCGCGTTCCTTAAGCGTTTCGCAGCTTGCCTCGGGTTGTCCTTCTGTTTTCGATCGGAAATCGAAGTTCAACTCATGGAAAAAAGGGGCCTCGTCCCTTATTTTGGGTTCTTAGGTCAAGCCCCCGACTGTATGCTCCCCGCTGCCCGCCCGGCACCACGCCGCGCGCCCGCTCCGTTGCGCGGCGCATCTGTGGAGGAGGCGCGAGGCCCTCGAAGAAGACATGAATCAGGAGGGGCAAAAAACACACGGACACAATGAATCGTCGATTCCCGGGAAGATGTGGGAACATATGGGAATGGGAAGTGGGGGGGAAGACAGAAACCCAGAAAACATGGGAAAATATTGGGAATATTTCTATTTGTGTGTATTTATTGGAGAGGCCTGACGGCCGGTGCCGCCGACCTTGATCGAAAGGGCTAGGAGTGGGGGGAGGAAGCGGAGGATGAGGAGGAGGAGGAGGAGGAAGGAGAAGGAGGAGGAAGGAGGAGGAGGAGCAGGAGGAGGAGGAGGAGGAGAAGTATGTTTATGCGTGTGTATTGATTTGTGTGTCCTGGGGCCCCTTCGATGAAGGCAAGCTCTCTCGGAGCCCCGCGCGGACGTCTCTGCTCGGCACCGGGCCCCCCATGGCGCGGGCACCTCCCGCGCCGAAGCCCTTTGGCGCACGCCGCCCGCCGGGTTAGGGGGGGGTCCACCACGGCTCCGAGGAAATTCCGCGGGGGCCTCCTCCTCCTCCTCCTCCTCCTCCCCCTCCTCCTCCTCCTCCTCCTCCTCCTCCTCCTCCTCCTCCTCCTCCTCCCTCCTCCTCCTCCTCCTCCTCCTCCTCCTCCTCCTCCTCCTCCTCCTCCTCCTCCTCCTCCTCCCTCTCCTCCCTCCCTCCCTCCTCCCTCCCTCCCTCCCCTCCCTTTGGCGCACGCCGCCCGCCGGACAAGGGGGGGTCCACCACGGCTCCGAGGAAAATCCGCGGGGGCCGCCGAGAGGTCGTGGTCGTGCGGTGTGGTGTTCCTCTGGCTGAGGAGGCTCGAGGGTCGAGGCCTCCTCCTCCTCCTCCTCCTCCTCCTCCTCCTCCTCCTCCTCCTCCTCCTCCTCGTCCCCTCCTCCCTCCTCATCCTCCTCTGGCGCCGTTTGGCGCCGCCCTTTGGCGCACGCCGCCCGCCGGACAAGGGGGGGTCCACCACGGATCCGGGAAAATTCCGCGAGGGCCTCCGAGAAGTCGTGGTCGTGCAGTGTGTTGTTCCCCTCTACAGCGGGCGGCTTGAATAAGGAACACTTGCTCTGCAGAAGGGGTTCAGTCGTTCCTCAGGCTTGCATGCGTTATTTATAGTTCCTGGTGCGTTATGTGTTTTTTTGTTCGTTCCTTATGCGTTATTCCTTGGGATAAAAGATGGGCTTCCTCTAGTTGAGGAGGCTCGAGGGTCGAGGCTTTGATTCGCTTGTGGATATCTGATTGGCCTCGGGCGGCGTGTTTTTTGGCGCCGTGGAGGAAGGGGTCCAGAGGGAAACGGGTTCTAGACCAGGGGCTTTCTCCAGGACCACTCATTCATTCTGAGTCGTCATTTGAAGCGACTAGCGCGGTAAGAACATGATTGGAAGACAGGACGTCGAAGGCTCCATTCAGCGTGTGTGTGGTGAAAGCAGCACGAACAATGGAATGTTGCGCACAGCATGTTTTGAATCTCATAGGACTCCGACACCCCTGCCAATCGTGCCAAAACACAGCTCATGGGACATGGTCTCAGGACCCGTGCGGGGGGCCAGGGGCCCGAAAACGGCGGGAAGCACGTCCAGGAGCCTCGTCCGTTCCCCCGGGGCGTTGGCGCCGCCAGGCTGGATGAGGCCAGCGCCAGCGCCCAGAAGTGGCCCTGGGCCGTAAAGACTGCTCCGAGCCTGCAGCTGCCGAGTGGGCGCTGGGTCTCCTCCAGGACCAGGACCCGACCCCTTCGTGCCAGCTCCGTGGACCTCCAGGGACCTCCCTGGAGAGTGCTGCAGGATTCCGACGACCTCCTCCAGAGAGCCCCTCCACGCACACTCTTGGCATCGCTCGGACGTGTGCATTCTTCCTTCGGCGGGGACCATCGAGGAGCATCCTTGATCAGTTGGCGAAAAAACCACGCACGATACCGAAAAATGCACGGGAAATGGACGTCCGAGCGATGGCCAGCATTGCGTCAGGTCTGTGCCGTGCCGACGCGGCAGCGACCCCGCTGCGAGGGCGTTCAGGGTGGAGAGCACCGCGGGTGGCCCCGAGCCGGCCACCGTGGAAGCAGCCGGCGATCGGAGAGCCGCCGCGCCCTCCGCTTCCTCCTCCTCCTCCTCCTCCTCCTCCTCCTCCTCCTCCTCCTCCTCCTCTCCTCCTCCTCCTCCTCCTCCTCCACTCCTCTCCACCTCTTCCTCCTCCTCCTCCTCCCTCCTCCTCCTCCTCCTCCTCCTCCTCCTCCTCCTCCTCCTCTTCCGCCTCCTCCTCCCTCCCTCCCTCCTTCTCCTCCCTCCCCTCCCTCCCTCCCTCCCTCGCTCCAGGTGGAGCGATCCACGCGGTGTCAGAGATGACCGCGGCGGTCGTCAGGACACGAGCTTGCCGTAGACGCTTGTGTTTGACGGACGCGTCCGCGTTGCTCCTGTGCCGCCCATGATGATAACAAGCATGTTTCCGCTCGTGCCGCCGCCTGTGATGCTGGGTCGTTGTGTGTATGTGTGTGTGTGGCTGTTCGATTCTGGACGGCCTTATTCGATTCCGATATTCCGACAAATTGATGCGGCCTGATGCTCGCACGGCTCTGCGACTCCAACGCACATTCCGTTTCGATCCGATGTTCCGATTCGATGTTTGTTCCGGCACTAGTTATTGGTATGGTAGTGCCATGTGTTGACGCAGTTGCAGCCATCAAGAGCGAACATGGACCAGCATGCTTGCACATCAAGTGTGCCGTCGTAGGTGCAAATGCGCGTCCTGCGCTCCTCTTCCCGCCCCCGTGCCCGTCTCGAGGATATATCCCTGGCAGGCATACCAGCGCTCAGCGACGACGCCGTGCGGGAGGTCTTCACGAGGTGCCGCCACCTCAGGCAGGCGGCTCGTTGCTGCATCTTCGGCCCGCCACGGTGAGAGCATCCGCCATCACTCTCCGCGCGCGTTCCACTACTCACAAAGTACCTACTCGCAAACGTCCGAAAAAGCCGAGTCTTCCCCTATGCAATCTATCGTGCGTCACCCGCGGCGGGTCCAGGCCATCTGCGAGTAGCTGATTTGCGAGTAGTGGAACGCGCTTGTCCAATCACTGCCCCAGTCTCGGAGCCTGCGATCATCGCCTGCGTTCGTCGGGCTGCATCCGTGCGCCACGTTCGCTCTCGCTCTTCTTTCGCTTGGAGTGTGGAGTCCGCCCGCGCGCTCTCTCCCGTCTGGCATGGAAGATGCTCGCCACGTCCGCACTTGGTCTGCAATCGTCCCTTCTGGTGCTCCCGCACCTCCCTGGCAGGCCACGCTTCCTTCCCCCCCCCATCCTCCTCTTGTCTTCTGCTTCCCCTCGGCCGGTGCCCCCGACATGCGGCCCGGGCATCTGCAGCGAGGGCGCTCACGCCCGCGCCCACACATGCCGCTCGCTGCGCGCGCACTCTCTCGCCCTGCCCTGTGCGCTCCTGCCGCCGCCTTCCCGGCCAGGGCCGGGCCACGACTCGCGCCAGTGCGCACAGACTGGACGCCAAGGAGGAGACCGCGTCGCCGGCGACGTGGGGCACAGGGCCTCGTGCAGCAGCAGCCGGGCCGCGGCAGAGCCGACGGCGCGCCGCCCACGCAAGCGGACAAGCAGGAGAGCAGCCGCGGAGGGAGCTCGAGGGAGGCCGTTCCGTACGCGGAGCACTCCACGCGTGGTGCCGGCGGCCGCATGCTCCAGCACGCCGAGGAGACGTGGGCGCGGGGAGAACGGAAGCACATCGTGCAGCACAGCGGGCAGGCGTCGCGCCCACGCAGGGCGGTCCAGCGCCAGGCCTGCCGACCCTGCCCTGCCGTGCGGGGGGGCCTGGTGTCAACGACGCAGGCGCTGACGATGCTGCCATGAGCGCAGGCCAGTCTGAAGAGTGCTCGTCGCTACGGCTGGCCAGCTTTTGAGTCGAGACGGCAGCCGAGGCCGCCTCGAATCGCGAACGCCCCCCTTTGGAGTCCTCCGGCCCTTGTAGGCCCAGGCGCCGCGACGTCTGGACGTTTTCGGTACCAGTGGGGGGCCCAGAAGTCCCGACCCTTTCCCCAGGCCTGGCTCTCCATGCCGCATCGTTGTTGATGGTCCTGGGGCCCAGCAAGGCCCCCCAGAGGCCGAAGACGGCGAAAGACCGCCGTCCTGACTTGTTTGCTTCGCCAGCGAGGGCCCCCGCAGGCCGAAGAGTGCCAAGAATGTCCTGCCTTACCCTGCCTCCCCGCTCCCTCCGCCGTCGGCGCCACCAACACACGCGGATTCCGACCACAAGGGTCATCCCTCCTTCTCTTCCTTCATATGGCACGCAGCTCTTTCATTGTCTCGCAGCACACGTGCGAGGTTTGCACAAACACACACACACACGACAACACATACATACGTACGTACATACATACATACATACATACATACATACATACACACATACATACATACATACATACATACATACATACATACATACATACATACATACATACATACATACATACATACATACGTACATACGTACGTACGGACGTACGTACATACATACATGCATGCATACATACATACATATATATATATATATATATATATGCATATGTGTATCGGTTATGGTATGGTATGGTTTGGTATGGTGTGGCATGCTACGTTGTGATGTGGTGTATTATGTTATTTGTCGTTACGATATGATATGTTATGTTGTTTAGTCTGTAACAGTATCTATATATCTATATATATGTATATGATCCTGGGCCGAGGGTTCACAGTCCACCCCAGATGGGATGGGAGGAGCGACGACGACGGCGACGACGACGACGACGACGACGACGGCGACGACGACGACGACGGCGACGACGACGACGAAGACGACGACCACGACGCCGACGCCGCCGACGCCGCCGACGCCGACGCCGACGCCGACGGACTGACGGAGACGACGACGACGACGACGACGACGACGACGACGACGACGACGTTGCCGACGAACCACCCCACACCCACAGGGGCAGGGGGGGCACCGGCACCCACCACCACGCCACGCCCACAGGGAGGAGGAGGAGGAGGAGGAGGAGGAGGAGGAGGAGGAGGAGGAGCAGGAGGAGGAGGAGGAGAAGGAGGAGGAGGAGGGGGGGGGGAGCGATCCCATTCGCGAGGCCTTCACGGGGCTCCCGGGCGCGCCCATCCAGCGGGGGGCGGGGGCGGGGGCTCGATCCCATCTGCATTTAAGCTCCCTGGGGGCCTGCTGGGGGCTTCTTGGGCAACCGGGGGGCGTCTTGTGGTCGAAGGCTCGAATTGTGCGTTCGGGTTCCCCGTCTGGGCCCCCCTCCTGGGGCTGTCCTGGGGCCCTCCTGGGCCGTCTTGGGGGCTTCTTGGGCCGTCTTGGGGCGAGGTGGGGCAACCCTGGATCATGACAGTGAGGGGGCCGAACGGTTCTCTGTCCGTGGGCGCGTGGCTGAAGTGAGGGTCGGCGGTGCGGATTGTTGTTGCTGGTGGTGTTATTTAATCGCTTCGCTCACTCCGCCGGCCCATATTGCCTCGCCGCTGTCGATTGTCGGGGTGTTGTTGTCAATGCAGTGCCGTTGGGCGGCTGCCATGTTTCGGAGGCGGTAGGTGGTGGGTCAGAGGCCTCATGGATGTTGAATGTGCTCCAGTGGTTGGCTTCTCGGGGGCCTCTGGGAGGCAGCCTTGAGGCCTCTTGAGGGCCGTGTAGGGGCCTCGTATGGCCTCTTGGGGTGTCTCTTGGGGGGCCCATGAGGGCCTCTTGAGTGCCTCTTGGGGCTGAAGGCTGGACTTTCGGTTCCGGGTCCCCTTTGGACCCCTCTTGGGGCCGTTCTGGGGCCCTCTTGGGCCGTCTTGTGGCCCTCTCGGGCTCTCTTGGGCCCACCTTGGGGGCCTGCTGGGCTGTCTGGGGACGATGTTGGAGGCCTCTGGGACAGTTCTGGACGCTGTGAACCCCCCCAAACGTCGCGCATGCGAAGAATGCACGTCGCCCGAAGGGAATGGGACGAAGTTTGCTTGTTTGAGCCCTCTTGGAGAGCCTCTTGAAGCTCTCTTGGGGCTTTGTTCGCGGCCTCTGGGGGGCCATCTGGAGACCATCTCGAGCGTCTTGGGACAATATTTCAGCGACTCGGGGCCTCTTGTTCAGGGAGGAAAAACCACCCGGACCGGACAATTAGCGTTTACTAACGGCCCGGGGCGTTTACAGTCGGGGCCCTGAAGAAGGAACCCTTTTTGTTGGGGATGGGCTCCGCGTTCCTTAAGTGTTTCACAGCTTGCCTCAGGTTTTCCGTATGGCTTCGATAGGAAATCGAAGTTGAACTTATGGAAAAAGGGGCCTCGTTCCTTATTTAGGGTTCCTTAGGTCAACGCCCCGACTGTACTAAACAGCCCTGCCCTGTGTGATTCCTTCTTTGGGTGTGTTTACTAAACGGCCCCGCGTGTCGGGGTGGTTACTATCGGGGTGGATGTTCTGCCCTCTACCTTGGGCCGTGAAGGGGGCGTCCCGGCGCCCTCTCGGCGCGCTCCTGGAGCGCCTTGGGCCTTGGGGGAGTCGGCCGGGCATCGCCCGTGGCACTTTTCGTCCAGGGGTCCCCTGGGGCCATCATGCGCGCGCGAACTAGAAAGATTGCTAATTAACCTGATACCAGAGATCTTAGCACGCCTCTGGCCCGTTGGGCAGGCGAATTGTTGGTGCTGTTGTTGTGGTGGTGTTGTTGTTGGTGGTGGTTGTGGTGGGAGTGGTGGTGGTGGTGGAGGAGGTGGTGGTGGTGGTGGTGGTGGAGGAGGTGGTGGTGGTGGTGTTGTTGTGTTTGGTGTTGTTGGTGCTGTTGTTGTTAGTCTTGTCATTGCTGTTGTTGCGTTGTTTGTTGTGTTGTTTTCTCGTTTGTGGTCTTTGGTTTGTTGTTTGTTGTCGTCGTCCGACCCGCGACCCACCCGCGACCCATCCGCGACCCACCCCGCCACCCACCCCGCGACCCGCTCGCGACCCACCCGCGAACCACCCGCTACCCACCCTGCGACCCACCCCGCGACCCACCCGCGAACCACCCGCGACCCACTTCCCCGCGACCCACCCGCGATTCACCCGCGACCCACCCGCGACCCACCCGCGACCCACCCCGCGACCCACCCGCGACCCACCCGCGACCCGGCCCGCGACCCACCCGCGACCAATCCCCGAACCACCCACATTGGTTTCACGCGAAAACCAGCGCCCGCGGCGGGCTCTTTGCATAGTTTATAAAAATTGGGCGCCTGCGGCTGGCTTCTTCAGAGCCTCGCAGACTGGCGACGTCCCCGCCGCCCCCTCACTCTTATCCGCAACGGCGGGCTGCTACGTACACACATAGTTCTTTCATTTTTTGGGGGGCCAAGATCCTTTCATTTCTAGTTGTTCTATCCTGGGCCTCCTCCTGGCCACCAGGGGGCCAGGAACACTTATAAACGAGCACAAGTAGAAATGAGCACGATTATGCATGAACGACGTGTATGTGTGTTTATGTACAGATATGTATATATAGAGAGAGAGAGAGAAAAAGAAGCCACGGCCTCGCTCGGTTAGCCTTAGATCTCAGATAGGGCCGGAGGATACTTGTTCGTTCGTTCCCGATGGACCCGGAGGATGCTAGGCTTCAGTCGGGCCTGTCCCTCTACAGGGGGAATATTCAAACATAGTCAAAAAATAGCCTGGGGACGATTTGTTTAGCATGTGTTTACAATTTGGGTGCATGTCTGGTGTATTTATTATTTTTCACCCAAAATCCGCCTGTAGGGGGACAGGCCCGACCTAATGCTAGGCTTCCTAGATAGAGTCGGAGGATCGCGCCGCATCGCCGATGCATCGACGATGCGGCTCGATGCGGAGCCCGATTTTCTCCACGCCGACGTCGGCGATGCATCGACGATGCTGCATCGGCGACGCCGCGAGCTCCTCCGACCACATCTACGTATACTCGGACCCCATGTAGGAGGTCTCCAAGATCCTAGACAGGCCCAGAGGATCTTGATATCGCTCGGACGTGTGCACTTGTTTTCGGCGGGGATTATTAAGGAGCATCCTGGATCATCCTGCGAACGAAAAAAAATATTTTATATATATATATAAAAAAAAAAAAAAAAAAAAAAAAAAAAAAAAAAAAAAAAAAAAAAAAAAAAAAAAAAAAAAAAAAAACGTCCGGGCGATGGCCAGGGATAGGTCTCAGATAGCCTCCGATTGGTGGCTCGCTCGTTCGCTCGCTCCCTCGCTCCCTCCGCCGTCCGCCGTCGGCACCTGGACCTGACGGGCTGCGCGAGCGTCCTGGAGAGCACCGTGGCCAGCGGGGTGGAGGGCGCGGCCTGCCTGCGGAGGCGCCTCCTGCTGCGGCCGGGGGGAGGGGCAAGGCGGGGGGCAGGGAGCCGCACGGGAGGGGCAGCGTTCCCAGACCCTTTCGGTTCATGAAAAAAATCACGACGGGAGGTTTTCCGCTATTTTCGGCCTCTGGGTGCCCTCACTGGGCCTCTGGACCCTCAACGACCGAGTCAGGATGGATACTAGTCCCAGAGAATGGGTCGAGACTTTTGGTGTCGACGTTTTGGTTTTTCCGTTAAACAAATAACGTCGGGGGTCTGGGTTATGGGGAGACGAAGTTTCGAGGTTCGAGGTCTTCCTGGCGTTTTCGTGGGTCTTCGGCGGCTTTCCAGCCTCGGGATGCTTTCCATCAGCCACGCGTCGCCGAGGTCGTCCCGAACGGCAGCTGGAGAGCCGATTTATGACCCGAAAGCCGAGGGGCAACGCGAGGCGAAACCCTGGGAGGAGTCAGAAAGAGCAGCTGCTGCAGGAGGAGTGGAAGGCATGGAGAGGCTCGAGACGCCAGGGGTGGAGGGGGGCGTCCGAGCGGCGACGGTAGCTGCCAGCACGGCGTGCCCGCTTTGCAGCACGGCTCGCTGCCGACATCGCCATGAGGGCTGTCGGCTTGAGATGGCGCACGTCGTCTGCCCCGCAGCGGCCGCCAGCGATTCCGGACGGCATCTGCAGCCGGGTTTCACCGTCACCGATGTTGTCCTGTCTGGGGGGCGTGCAGGGAGCTGTGGAGGGAAGCCGGGGGCGGTTGAGGATCCCCGGGTTGGAAATGCCCGGGTAGGACCGGCCACTAGAATTCGGAAGCATACCATGGGAGTTTCAAACACTCGCAGCTCTGTCTTTAGAATACACTAGCGTCGACTAGCGCCTGATAATCGATGAGATAGGTATCGCCGATTTAGTGTCGACCAGCGTCGATTAGCGTCGGCTGGCGTCGATTCAGCGTCGTTTTGCGTAGGTTTGCAAGAGCCAACAAGATGGTATGGGAGGCCCCCCATGACTTGCCACTACACCAGAAGTTCTGTCCTTAGTGTTGGGGCCTCGAGCCCTCGCGACGCCTCAGCGGAGCAAGGAACTTGGGAGGGAGGAGAGGGGCTCACCAGCCGACCCACTGGAAGTTCGCCGCCCGACGCCTCGAGCTCTCACAGGACGCGTGGGCGCTGGCCAAGTCGAGGCCGAGTTCCGTCGTGCCCGTCGGGATGCTGTGGCCCTGCATGAAGAGCATGGCCCTGAGGGAAAGGAGTCCTGAGATGATTCGTTGTTTTCGGCCACTCCTCCTCCTCCTCCTCCTCCTCCTCCTCCTCGTCCTCCTCCTCCTCCTCCTCCTCCTCCTCCTCCTCCTCCCTGCGGGAGGGATTGCCTTGCCCCGTGCGTGGCTCAAGCCCCAGAAGGCTTCCGCGCGCTATCGCAGGTTATGTGTTCGGCGCGATGGCCTTGGATGTTCTTTCGGGATCTAGGTGCGATGGCAAACAATCCTAGGGACATTCCGATTCCAGATTTCGACGACCCAGATCTCGATGACGATTTTCGTCCAGCCGATCGTGATCGTGTCGCTCCCGTTCCACATTTGTTTCACACACCTTTGACACAGATTACCTTCCCTGTGACGGACAGTCGCGACGCTGATGCACGTCCACAGCTTTTGGAGGGTACACAGAGACACCACCGAAACCAACCAACTTGGGAAACACTTGGCGTGCACACACACACACACACACACACACACACACACACACACACGGACAGTCGCGACGTTGCGCCACGTCCGACTTGAAGTGTTGTGCGCGGGCAAGAGCAAGGACAGCAACCAGGGGCACCACCACACCCACAGGACCGCAACAAGGGGACACCAGCGACCACGCGAAGGACCACGGTTGCAACGGACACAAACGCTTTCCTCATGGCCCGGTCGGGGGAGAGCCCAGCCGACGTCGCCAGGGAATTGTCGACCGTCCGCTCGGGCGGCGGCGGCGACAGCAGCCACGCCAAACACCCTTTGCCAGCGATCCCGAGGCGCACGACCGTGCTCCTTAGTGTAAAGGCCTGGAGGAAGTGGCTCCAGACGAAGTTGTTCGGTTGGCGCGTTTTGCACGCCGACGGTTTCGCTGACGCTGCCCGGGCGGTTTTGGAGGACCCGCGCCTGGACGTGGGGCCTGTCCCAAAAAAAACACGATTCGCCAAGGCGAATAAGGCGCTAGCGTTTGAGATCTGCAGCGCGGCCGACGAAGACCTGAGTCTTCCTTTCACGCGCGTGGACCACAGCGACGGCATCGCGATACTCGCTGCGCTCACGAAAGCCATTTTGGCTTCGAGCTCTGCTCACGTCGAGGCTCTCCACGAGCGGTTCACAGACCCCAAGCCTGCGACGGAGAAGAGCAAGCTACAACACGCTTTGCGGTTGCGGCGGGCGGAGTTCGACGAGCTGAGTGCCGTCGGACCAGCGCCTTCCAAGCAGACCACGCTACGTTCTTTGAGGCATCTGATCTGCAAGATCGATGCGTTGAAAACTATTGTGGAGGTGGTAGCTTTCACCGGGCCCAACGACCCAGACGCCATCTTGCAGGTGGCGGAGCAAAAGGCCAGAGAGTGGGCCGCTTCCGTGCCACCGCGCCCGTCGCAACACGCGAGGGCCCTTGCGAACGCAGCGCGGGCTGGCCGGGGGGGGCAAGGACAAAGACAAACACAAGGACAAGAACAAGGGCAAAGGCACAGGCGAGGCATGGATTCCATGTTCATTCTACCTCAGCGGATACTGCCGCTGGGGCAACAGCTGCAAATTCAACCACGCGGGCAACAACACGAGCAAATATTCAGCAAAAGATGTTTGCCGCATCTCTCATCAACCTGGACACTGGGGCAGCGAATGCCCGCGCAAAGACTCTGGGACACTCCCTGGGGCGGGGCCCAGGGCAACAGAAGGACCACCTGGGGCGGGGCCCAGGCGATAAGGCGACGCCAATAACAACTGGACAGACTTAGGAACAGGATGGGGCGCAGACGCGCCCACTCCTGCACCTCCCGGATTCGAGACCGAGGAGAGCCGGAAACGCAGCCGGATCGGAGCCGGCGCGCTGTCCGGAGAGGCAGCCGGATCGGCGCAGGCGCCAACGACACAGCAGTCCGCGGCCAGCATGGCAGCATTCACACAGATGGCACAGCATATCGTGAACGAGCAAAAGAACAATTACAAGACGGCAAGGGATACTTTGGAGCGTCTCTCCGGGAACATGCCGCGGATTTCCACCCCCTACCTCGCCCTCGGGATCAACAGCGCCACTTCGGAACTGCCCTTGGCGATGGCGGCAGATTCGGGCGCCGAAAGACGCGTTTTGGCAGGCAGGGATGACAGGCACGCAATGAACATCCGCCCCCTAGACCCTAGACGCCCCCCTCATCCTAGAGACGGCGAACGGGGAGACCGTCGCCACGGACCAGTGCGACGGCGCATGTGGAGCTGTCCTTCTCCAGGGCGCCCCGACTTGCAAAACGGCAGCGCCCCCCTCCTCTAGCCAGAGGCCAACGGCATCGCTGAGAGGCGCATTCAGGCATTATTCGAGATCGCCCGGGCCCTCCCCCTACAGGCAGGCGCCCCACAAGAGTTCTGGGACGAGGCGCTGGCGCACGCCAACGCCTTGTTCCACGACACCCCCCGCAATGCACCAGGGCAGGAGGGCGAGGTACTCCCACACATGCTCGAAAGTAGTAGTTGCGACGATGTAAGTAGATGGCCACCTTGGGGCTGCGAGTGCATTCATCTTATCCCCAAGCCTGTGCGGCCGAACAAATTAGACGGAGTTGCTCGGGTCGGAGCGCTCGTCGGCTTCGACTCGAGGACGGTTCGCGGCGCGAGGGTTGCGCCGATTACTCGTTGCGGGGACGAGTGGGTCGTCGAGAAGCCGATCGCTTCGATTATTCTTCGCGCTGTCGACACGGAGTTTCCCTTGAGGAGCCGCGGCGGCGAGCTCGACCCCCTCGACGGCGTCTTCGACGCGCTTGAGACGGACACCCCCCGTTCCTGGAAGGGCCCCGCGGCCGCGGAGAGCGGCGCGGCGGCGCCGGAAGCGGGGCCACAGGCGGCGGCCGGGGACAGTCGAGGTGCTGCACCACGCCCGACTGCAACCGTCGCGCCTGAGACCCCTGCAGCGGAAGCGCGGGGTCGCACAAACAGTCGCTTCGCCGCAGTCGAGGAGCAACGCGCCCACTGCCGCGAGCGCAAGCGGGAGCAAACCCGCAAGCGCGCCCGGCCCAACCCGTTGGCCCTGCCCGTAGATGGCCCCCTGCAGCCAGGCGAGGGGACGCCGCCAGTTCGCGTTGCACGCCTTCGTCGTTCGCGTCCGTGGCCTCTGACAGCGACGACGCCCAGCCGGATTTGTCTCGCGGTGAAGTGGCAGAGCTGGCGACTGGCACTCAGTCGCCCCGCCCAGTCCGTTCTGTAGGCGCCGCCGCCGTTGAGACAGGGCTCCGCGAGGATACGTTCCGCATTTTTGCGAGCGCCATCACTGCGCAGGAGTTAGTAGCCGACATTATGCACGTCTTGGGCCGTCAGGCGGCGCATGTCACGCAGCTGATGGACACGAAACTGCATCCCCAGCGCCCGGACGGCCGTGGAGCTCAGGCGGCGGCCAAAGAGTTTGCGCGCATGGCCGGGCACCCCGCGCGGCTCGCGCCACAAGAGCTGTCGTCGATCCCAGACGGCGCCCGAGCTGGCAAAGGTAAACTCCTGATCTCCGAGAAGAACTGGGAGCAGCCGCAGGCGCTTCACGAGGGCGAGGCCCGCTTTGTAGCCATGGGTAACGTTTGCTTCGACAAGCGCACGACAGTAGTACCTGCGCCATCGGAGTCGCCCCGGGCACCCGCAGCCAGCCTCATCGGCGCCCGTTTCGCCCAAGTACGCCCCCTCGTCACGGGTCACGAGATGGAGACCATCGACCTTCTTAGCGCATATCTTCAGGCACATCTTGGAGGTAATCGACAGAGCATTACATCATTATCCCTGCAGAGGTAATCG